AGAGCATTTCTGTAACTTCAAGACAACACTGCATGTACTGTGTAGTATGAATTGCAAGTTACAGTTTTACTAGTAGTTACTTGAAGTGCCACTATCTTGGATTGTTAAGTAAGGTTTGATGGGGCTATTCCAATTTTCAGAGTTAGAATTCTGACTAAAGGGGACATTCCAGTTGAAATTTCAACTGGGAACTCATAAATTCTGACTTTCATGTGCAGGCTGTAGGATGTGTTTTATTAATAAGCAAATACTCCCATGCCATGACGGGAAGCAATGCCATGAGGCACCAACCAAGCAGTTAATATCTTTAAAATTAATATGTACTAACCAACCTATTAGATTCAGGGGTGTTGCCACATCGAGTTACATTATGCCAGCACAGTCTAGCTGGTAGCTGTCAGCTGAGTGTCACATCATTAGACCAACTCCATGACCTACACTTTTCATCTCCATGTTGTCGTAACAATATGGCTCACTGTGCCTAAACTTAATGGCAATGCCAATATTGAAATTTAATTTATTATTGGTGGTTAGCATTGTTGCCTTGCAGCAAGAAGGTCCTGAGTTCAACTCCACCACCTTACCGGGGCCTGTGTGTGTGGAGTTTGCATGTTCCCCCCGTGTTTGTGTGGATTCTCTCCAGGTACTCCTGCTTTTCCCTATGCAGGGTTTCCGCCTTTGTGTTACAAGCTAAGTTGCCAAATGTTAAATGTTATAGTTGCACGCAGCACATTGCACAGATGAGACAGTTTATGTTGCTGCGACTGTTTGTATTCCTGTGCCACAGGAAAGATAATTAATCATGTTGAAAAAAAATATGGTAAAAATTGCAAAACAATACATTAAGTTCAACTTCCCACATTTATCTGTTTGGGTCACAGTATTGTTAACCAAACTTCATGCCATATAAACAGCCCTGTTATGCATACCGCAAAGGTAATTTTGTCAGGCTGGGAAAGGACTTTCTTAAACGCGTGTAATGTCAGGAAATTTTTTGTGATGATGTGCAGCGCTCATTAGTTTTTCAGATAACACATTCCCTGCGGGGATATGGCAGCCAGCTCCTGCATTGCTAAGTGAAGCGCTGACAGCTGTGACATCAAATCACTGTTTGAAAGCGTAACTCATCACTACAACATTGTGTCATCATAAAAAGGAGGCCATACCTGCTAGTGTCGGTGCAGCAAGCCTCACATCATGACAGCCAGCTGCACCAATCTGCAGCATGAAAGAGGTGGGTGGCAGGTGGGGGCTAAAGGATCTGTGGCACTGAGAGAGGGGGAGGTGAGAATGATGCACAGAGAATAGGAGGAGTAGATAATGTAGGAGGGCAAAGTGGAGTTTGAAGTACTGTATTACATGGGATGAGGGAAAGCACTGGCAAAAACAGAAGGAGTTAAAGCAGAGACGGCAAAAAAAGATGAGAAGAAAATCTGTCAGTTGTTTGAACAGATTGGCAATAATGTCATTTAATACATATTCTGTTTGAAATTCACAGTCTGTCCAAATTCACTCTCAGAAAGGGCGCCGCCTATCTGATGACATTCAAACGTTTTGTCCAATCAGCAGCTTAGCCATGGATTCAAAGGGACTCTGATATGACAGATGACAGCTAAAACTTATCCAAGCCATCCAGATGTGTCAGCTTACATCATATCTTTGTGATATCTGGCTTTTCGGGACCCGGAATGGAAGTGACAAGAGAGTGTTTTCTAAGGCAGTTCCTTGGTGATGCAGCTGTCACACTGACACAGAGAAAAAGAAAGTCATAAAGGCTGTGTACACAATGTACATGCCTGTATTTGCATCCTCCCGCTTGTAATTGACGTGGAACTTTCAAATTGAAATTGTTTGAATGAACTCAGCTGAGTGATTTTGACAAGTAGAATACCGTATGCTGCAAGCGCGGTCTGTCTTTTCTTTTTTTTTCCCCCTCCGTGTCACAGGAAAGCTTGAGGTAGACTTGTCTGAATGGTTACAAAGCAGCAGGGGGTCCCAGGCAATAGTATTCCCTCAGGTGCTTTGCAGACTTTATGCCAAGTTTGCGCAGGCCACACGCTGAGTTTGTTCAGCCATCTGAAATTGTCGCCACAATTTTGAAGTCAAGAATAAGACTCGGTTGGCTGATTGTTTTAAAAGACTTTCATTCTCAAGCATGCCAAATGTGGTAAAGGAAAAAGATTGTTCTCTGCAAATGAATGTGGAGTATCATCCAGATTCAACAGAACTACACAGGCAAACTCATTTGTATCCCTGCGCTACCGTATGGGTTTCTGCTGTAGCACAACAGTTTCACACATCTGCCTTTCTTGTTTGGTTCAAACACTCCTCTCGGTGCATATTGTAAGTTAATTTAGATATACTTGTATCCCCTGAAAAAGTTGTCTTTTCTCATACTCATCAGTGACGGTGAACTACTGTGCCTCGATGAATTTATTGTCTGTGTGCAGAGGTGCTAGTTTCTTCATTACATGGCTGATCCACGTGAATTCGAGCAGATTTGAAGCCGGGCTTACTTTCTTGCCGAGGATTTCACTGCAAATTGATGCGGTCCCTTTTACAACGTCCTCGCCTGGGTACTGACAGAGCCTCGATAAATCAAGGCAATCACAACGACATGGGGGAAGACATTGCCATAAATTCCACAGGGACCGTAAATGTACAGAATCTAAGCACATCTGTAGACGCTACCTGTCTCGCTCTGTTTCATGCTAATGGCACTTTCCTTTTGTTGTCTTTTTATCCATCTTCTTCTTGATTTCAAAGACTCCCATGTCAACATTTATCCTTTCATGATTTTAACAGTCGTGTCACTTTAATCCTTCACCGGCTTCCAGATGATTGTTCCACACTTCAAATGGAATTCATAATTAGTAAAGTCATTGACAGAAAGAGGATTAGAGCAGAGGATATGCCATTATGCATTATTTGGTTGCGTCTCTCCACAAACACTTGTTGCACTTGTCAGTCGTGGGTCTTGGCCATTCCCATTTGAGGCTCCGGTTAGCGAGATGACAGCCTGTAGAGCATCATTCTGAGCATTTAAATAAACCTGAGGATCCCGCAGAGTTTATTTTGAAATTTTCACGCACATTGACAGCTTCTCTTGAAAATAAAATCGAAAAATGTTGCCATAATGGAACCATCCATGACATTTTTGTATCCGTGATAGTTTTATGTACTGTGTACTATAGCATATACAGTTTGTATTGTATAAGATATATATTTAAACTGAAATTACAAATAATAATTTAATTGCATTCATAAAACTAACTCTATAACCCGCAGCAACCATTCCTCTTCTCCTCTTTCTCCATATATACACATTTCTGTACCTGCTCATTGACTGTTATAAATGGCTGTATATTTAGGGCAGCACAGCATGCCTGAAATGGTGATGTAGAGTTGTGTTTTGCTGCTAAATTTATTTTTAAGATCCTGTACAGTTTTTCATTTGCCAGACATAGCATATAGACACCTGAGTTCTATTCTTTCATGTTTATATCTCAGATGCATTTTTAGATTTTATGACTTTAGATTTAAATTTATCTATGTTGTTAGTTTGATGGTGAATCAATGCAATGAAATCTCCTGTTGATGTCCACTAACTGGTCTATGTCCGATGTATCTATTCTATTCTGTACATAAACTAAAACTGCATACATATAGAAATTTAGGTTAGACAAAACTGAGTAATGGAGCAGAACAGTTGGTTAGATAGTTTGAGTACAGCCACTGACTGGAATCACAGTTTACACATAGGTGTCTGTAGAGGTTTGAGAGCAATATCAGCCATACAGTGGAAACACACTAGTCACATGTTTATGTCTGACTCACCAACAACACCTGCTTGAAATCTGCACATTGCGATCTTGGAGATGAGTATGCCTCTCAAGTGTCTGTGTGGGTCATCTCTGGCCTTGGCTATTCTACAACCTTTTTTCAGGTTCTCACAGATCTTCCCACAGGTCAAGTATGTACAAACCTCAGCAAATGATCCAATTAGTAACAGCAAAGAAAGTGATGAAAATCTACCACGTCCTTCTCTGTAGGTTTCTAATAATAATAATAATAATAATAATAACTAAAACATACATTTCTTTGCTGGGTACTTATGTTGTACCTCAATTGCAATCCCTTCGGAAAATTGAACATTGATGATTCAAGTTAGTGTTAAGAGCAAAGATATCACGCATTATCTTCTTATAGCTATCTAGGCAACTTCATAGGATGTAGACTGTTAATACAAGGCTTTGCAGTATGCAAGAGTGGGTGACGTCACCCACTGGTGTGAGGACTAAAGTTTTGTATTTTAGCTCTTGTGGTTCATGTGATTGTCTTTGGACAAGACAACAGAGTTGTTGAGTTATCAGCTATCGGCCTCGAGGTTGCTGGTTAAGTGACATCAAACGCTGATGGATGTTTTATAGGAGCCTGAGCAGTCAGCGTGAATTACAAAGATACGCAAACCACTTTTCACTCTTCATAACAGCTGGGTCTCGAGAGGATCCTGCAGAAAAAGCAGTGTAGCTCTTTCACTTCTCCATTTTTTTAAATAAATTGCCCCTTTAGGTCGCAGAACTCCCCTGAGCAACATCCTTTTATGAAGATGACCCGTGCCGGCTGAAATTTTCCAGACAGTTTCAGCACCTTCAGTCTTCCACTGTGAATCACTACAGTCAGCATTTATCACAACGCCCCGCTGTGGGGCCAACTGCCAGTTACGTTTTTTACTCGGTGGTGGAAAAACCTCGGTGCTGCAATATTTAAATGGATGTTGAATGTGTCTTCCTTTCAGATGATATTTTTTCACTCATATCCACTCAAAATCTAAAGCTGGTCATGGTGTAATGTGTCTATCGACCAGCAGGTGGAGAAGTTATATGAACCGTTTGATCCTCAAGCCCCCACCCCTGTCCCTCCTCTGCCTCATGCTGCTCCCGATGTGAGAAGTTCCTGCATAAACTTCCACTCCACAGAGGGAGAACATATGTGGGAGATCTAACAGAGGCACACCACAAAGAACAGACAAAGAAACTTTTGAGCTGGACCTATTTCCTATTCTTGGATTGTTTTCTCAAATCAGGGTCTTCATGTGTATGGATCACTTTGTCAAAACATAGTGTGGATGTTTGATTGTGGAGTGTAAATGTAACTGCTGTAGACATGGATACATCATTTACTGTGAGACCTCTTGTCCTTGCCCTTCTGCTCTCCCTTCATCTGCACTTACACCTTTTTGTTTGGGCTGCTATGGACTCCTGCTATGATGAGGAGGGTGTGCCAAGCAGCTGTATGCCCAAGTTTGAGAATATTGCCTTCAGTCGCACGGTGGTGGCTTCCAATGTGTGTGGTTCTCCACCTGAGGACTACTGCATGCAGACAGGGTCAACTCGTTCATGCCACATCTGTGATGCCTCAGATCCATACCTAAGCCACAATACCAGCCTCCTGACAGACTTCCACCGGAATGAGGAGCCCACATGGTGGCAAAGTCAGTCCATGTACTTTCGTATCCAATATCCCAACTCCGTGAACCTCACCCTTCACCTCGGTAAGAGCACACATCCTGAACACTTAATTTAAATATCTGTCTTTACGTTACTTTGGTCTAATAGCTATGTCTAGAGTTCACTTATAGTCTCTGTTATACTAATGTTGTGTATAAATATGTTTATAATACGGGACTGCATTTGCTGTTTTGATGATCTGAGCCTCTACAGACTGCAGATAGACTCCAGTCTGGTGTGAATCTCACAGAAATACAGTACATGTTAGGGTTTTTTTTTTTGCACACTGAAATTTGATACCATCAGCTTTTTAGGTTTCTGGACACCCATATCTTCATGCATTATTCTGTGTATTGTGAGGCCTTTGATGGAGAAATCTTTAATCCAACACAGATGTGCTGCAGAACACATGATTTTTGTTAGGCCGCCTTGACTCTGAGGTTAACACTTTGGCCCAGACATAGCTTAGACTTCTGGTATTTCAGTGAGGACACTTTCACAAGAGCGTGTCTGAGAATTTGGTGGGATTTTACATGAAGATAACCAGTTGCATCTGACATGCATAAACAGGCACCAAGTAACGGTCTTCAGGCTCACAGTATCGTTAATTTAGCCCACATGCTGTCATGGAGTATGAACCCATTCAATTCTGGCTGCCACTCAACTTATTTTAAGAATATGATTTGGCCCAGAATCAAACTTTGATAGCACCACATCACAGAGCCTTCATAGATAGCATTAAAAACAAATCAGACTGTTATCTAACCTTTTTTTTTTTAAACTTGACATCCACACTTTCACATGGTGTCATTACAAATTAGCATTAATCTTCTGCTACAGGTTAAATTCACAGTTTTGCAGATATAGAACTGACTATGAATGAAACTGAAGCCATCATGTGTTTTTTAGAGAAACTGTAGGCAATAAGTAGCTTATAATAATAAGAATAACAAGAAGAGGGACACGGGAAGTTAGCGAGGCATTTACATGAATCATATTTGGAAGGCAATAGATATTTGTCAGGAAGGTAAATTAATTTGCATTACCTGGGACTTTTTCTGCAAATCAGACACACAAGTTAAATCATTTTTTTTTGTTTTGTTTTTGTTTTAAATTGCCTTCTTTGTGTCCTCTTTCCCCCTGAAAAAATGCCTCTGACGCACATTTTGTGCACTGTGAACACATTTGACATTTCTCACTCCAGCCATTAACATCATTATCCCATTACCATGCTGTGCAAAACTGCTGAAATAAGCAGCACAGCACATTTGGCACTATAACTGAATTAAAATGTGGCGATTACTGTTAAAACGCATTAATACAAATCTTTTTATGCAATTATTTTCCCCGTTCCATTTATTTTTTTGAGCTGGGCTTGTGTGCCTTTCTGCAATTAAAGGTCTCTTATCACCAAGATGGTTCATATATGTATTTGACATACCCGGGAAAAATATTTAGCTTATTTCTTATAACGTCGATTTTAACACTGATGTAATTTTAATTACTTTTTATGCAGAGCATTATATTAAGCACATTTGATTCAAAGTCTGAACAGAGAAATTTCCCGATCTCCCCTCTTTTGGCTTTATTCTGCCTGCAAAAAATACAGAAACAGTCCAAACACACAAAATTGTTTTTTCCCAAATGAAGAGAAGTCAGCAGTGTCTTCTTCCTATATTATGCCATAGGCAGGTTGTTAACAAGACAGCACACCCACAACAAATCAGCCTACACAGCTAACAATAGTTCTGAAAATGACAATGGTCCTGAATGCTAAAATGAGATCTGTCTGTATTCCAGTTAAGCTATACCTAGCAACTGAAACTCATACTTCACAAAGTCAACTTTAGGAAAAGTTGATACTTTTTAGATGCTAAAAGTAGGGAAAAAAACAATTGGTTTTTTTTCACGTCTTTGTTGATTTTTTTATTATGTGCTGATGTTGACAAAAGTGCTATTTTGGGGTTAAAAGCAGGTGTAAATGATTATTTTTGCAGTTCCACTCAGTTCACTCAAATTAAATGGGAACTATCTCACAAAAACACTCTAATTACATTGTTGCCAATTTCAGTAGAATGGCATTGCAAGAAATCTCCTCTGGGTTTTATTTTTATAAAACAAACTTCATTCAAAGAAGCAAATGGTGGAATTTATTCAAATGCCTCTTTTGTTCCAACAAAATGACAAGCAAGTGCTTTTTGCTTTTTTCTGTTATATCCGACATTGGGTTTGTAGATTTTAATTTCTCTGTTTATTAATAACAATGCAAAAGATAAATAAGTCTCCAATAACACCAGAAAAAGTTGCCAGATTTGTCGCTAAGGGGGTCTGAAAACTCACTAAATATAGCGACAAAGTCGCTAAGTTCGCAACACTGCATGTACAGTGGCCCTGAGAGGCCAAACGGACTGCAAAACGGACCAAAATGACTGCTCTCCGGGGGTCTAAGTGTTAAGAAAACACAAGCAATAAGAAAAACGCTGCAAAAGCACACAAAACATAACAGAAGTAAGAAAAACGACAACGGAAATAGGAAAAAATAAAACAGAAATAGGAAAAACGACAACGGAAATAGGAAAAAATAAAACAGAAATAGGAAAAACGACAACGGAAATAGGAAAAAACAAAAAGGAAATAGGAAAAACAGAAACTGATTTTCAAAAGCACAAGGGAAGTGTTTCTGGGGAGACAATAACCTGACGGACCAGTTGCAGGAACCAAAATATGCTAAGAATTGCACTGGGAGACACTTAAAAGAACTGGAGGTTCTATCGGTTTTGTGAGGAAAGAAAAGATGAAAGCGTATTAGCCTAACTTTTAGCCTAAAAATACGTCATCAGTATTATATGAATCATGATAAATCATGCCTACCATGTTTGGGGTTCCTGCAACTGGTCCGTCGGGTTATTGTCTCCCCAGAAACACTTCCCTTGTGTTTTTTTCCTATTTCCGTTGTCGTTTTTCCCATTTCCGTTTTGTTTTATGTGCTTTTGCAGTGTTTTTCTTATTGCTGGTGTTTTCTTAAGTTGCACTCCGTTTGGCCTCTCGTAGACATGCTCTGTTTTGTGTTAAACATGTAATTTGATTGTTGCAAATGTTAATAAATCAGTTTTCATGTTTGATTTAAATATTCTAAATATTCTTCTCAATAACCTTGAGAGACGTATTCCCAGAAATATGTTTACATAACAGAGTTAGTTCACTCTGACACAATACCTTATTAAAACATTCCCTAAGCCCTCACCTTCTGGTTTGTGCCCTACTATTTTATAATGTATTGCTTTAATGTACAGCTACTGGAAGGCTATCTATATTATCAATAAACAAATAGAATAAATATAGAGGTTGAGCAGCAGATCAAATATTTTATAATGGAGATAGCTTGACTGCATTCTCAGTTTGGGGTTACAAGTTTATTGGAGAAGTGCCTGCCAGTGTCCACTTGCCTGCCCTAGCCTGCCTGGGAGTGAGGGCTTTGGTTCACTTGGTAAAAAGAGGAATGCATGGATTTTTTTCTGAACTTGAGTAAAATCTATCCAACTATATTCTCAGTGTGTATAGTCTGTAACATGTATCTATAGTATCTTTGTAGCAGGGGTTTATTTGGGCTGATAGCATTCAGGGAAGGCTTTTACTTGTTCACACATACATTTCATACATTTTCTTTATCCCCCAATCTTCCCCTACCTATGCAGTAGAGGGAAGATGAGTCCTCCCTGTCAGAAAGATGTGTTTCAAAGAAAAAAGAGACAAGGACAAAAATGATGAGAGAAGTTGAAAATGTCAGCGCACAGATGAGCGGTTACATCACGTGCTCTGAAAACAGGAAGTACCTCAATCAAATGGAGAGTATTGATTTCCAATAGCAAGCAGATGTCTGACTGTGCTTTGAGGCTTTGTTGTTTATATTTTCTGGCTAGTTCTTTTTCTGGAAAAAGGTGGCAGTGCTCCAGCTGCTGCAAAGGTATTTTCTTTGTTATTGGAGAGTTTGTTATTCTTCTAACTATTCCAGCACCTACAAGTCTGTCTCCCTGAGACTGAACTGACCTTTGCTCCCACTGCCCTATCTGCCAACTTTGTTTTCCTATACCCGGCGGCTTTGATGCTTCCATCCTGACACCGTATTCCTAAGTGAATGATGTCTAAGTTTTCACATCACACACTTTTATGTAACTGAATATCCCTAAATTTTGTATGCGTGGCATACTTTTGGTTCACATGAAAACTGTGTGATCCATCTGGGTAGTTGGCGGGGGGTTCTTTAGACATCACTGTTTCCCTTTGCCTCTCCAAACAAAACAAGCGCTCTCCGAAGGGAACGCAGGCAAATGCGGCGATGATAAACACAGCAGTAGGACGCAGGGACACACACTGCAGCCAGGTCAGAGCGGGTCTGTGGAAGAGTTAAGAGGAAAGGGGGAGTCGGGCTGCTTCAAGGGGAGTAAACAAAACATAATGAGGAAGAAGGGGTGGAAAAGAAAAAAAAAATGCCAGGCAGTTTGCTGGTAAGGAATTGGGGTCAGGTTTTTTCCCACAAAGACTGGATGAGCCACACACACACACACACACACACACACACACACACACACACACACACACACACACACACACACACACACATTCTAACAGCACCCACTGATGTCTGCAGCTGGTTCTCATTCAGCGCAGTGAAAGAAAAGCAACATCCTGTTTCTGATGTAAAACAACGATAAAAGTCTGCCTCATTCGGCGGGACGCCTTCACAGCCTGAGCATCGGCTCACATAGGACACGTAATCCTGTCACAGAGTAAGAATTGGTCTCAAACTCTGAGATATAGCGTGATCAGAGGACAAATCCACTCCCATATTTGATTGTTGATTTCAAAAATCTCCGCTCGGAGATTAAACAGAATGTAAACAGTCTACAGTGCTTGTGTTGGGTTTAGTCTGGGCAGATGAGAGTAGCTGTGTCAAGTTGACATGGATGAGTCAGAACAAGTCAGACATTGAACTTCTCCAGCATACGACGCTTATTCTCAGTAAACATTGTCAAAATATCCACGGTGCGTTTGTGTATCTGGAGAAAACATTGAAAGCTTAGGCTGGATCTTTAATGCACATGATTCTAGATCTGCTCTGTAAAGTCAAACAAGGCTGTTTTACCGGCCGTGCAAACTTAATTTTCAGTGCTCAATAGCGTCCCCCTTGGTATTAAGTTACAAGTAGTACATATCTACAACACTACTTTCAGGGAGTATGATTTTTAATACACTTCTTTGACCACTTAATATTGTATAACTTTTAGAGTTTTTCATGATAGTAAAATATAATTGTACATTATTCATAAAAAGGATTAGATGTTCATTTTACATCCCTGAAGTGTAAGAATGCTACTTATTTGGATGCATTTCACCATTGTACACAGTGTACAGGTATTCTTTTGTTATATGTTACTTTGCTAAATTAAGTTCAACAACTAAAAAATCCCTTTGCTGTGCCCACATAAACTAATGAATATTTTAATGCACTCCTGAGTGAATATGGATCATGAATCATTAAACATTAGGCATAAAAACATACAAATATCATTTGCAATTAGTCTACATTTCATCACAGGGGATATCCAACAATTGCTTCATATTGTGCATCTTTTATGTCTCTTGCCTGAGTCCCAGCAGGGCTGAGCTCACCTCACGCAGTGAGTAAATGAAAGCTAAATGATCTTAGAGATCCCAAAGGAATGATACCATTAGAGATTTCTGCAGAGACAAGAGACAAAGATGCCTAGCTCTGACTTGGCAGAAAAATAGCAACAGATGTCATTACGGCTGTACCAGCGGATAGCACCCCTCCACGAATGTGCAGAGCGATTGAGACTTAGTATCTAATGATGTAGAAAAAATACCCCAGAGTGCACTGAAGAAGACTGTTAAGAGAGTTTCTACATGCTTCTTCTCATTCTGGTCTCAATATGACTTCATTTTGTGTCTACCCAGTTAATCCCCCACGATATGGCTCCAAGGTTATTGTTTGAACTGTCAACAATGAGTAAACAGTGGGGGTAATAACACCCCTCAATCAAAAAGAAGCATTGATTCAGGAAGAAGATGTCAGCTTTCTATATTAGGACAAGAGCTATAGCATTAATCACTGACCTCCCTACTGCAGGTGTCTAAACAGGAAGTGCTGTAAAGAAAAATATCCCCTCCTGACTCTGGCATGCAAACCGGTGGGCAACTGTTAGTGGCATCCTTTTATAACCTCTTCCTCTCATACCATCACAAATGTATCTAGGTCAGCGGTACCCAGCCCCCGGGCCATGGACCGGTACCAGTCTGTGAGTTGTTTGGTACCGAGGTGCGAGAGTTGAGGCTCGGGTGTAAAATTTATGGCTTTCAGGGTTTTTATCGTTAACTCAGTTTCCCTTGGTCTTCTTCCGTGTTGTAGTTGTGTGTCTTATTTTGAAAGAAATATTTATATGTTACCATAGCAACCAGAGAGCATTAAAGGGCCTTTTCGGGAGTAAAGTTACACAATTAGACAGTGAATTCATGTTTATTATTATTTTTGTTTTTGTCTGGGTTGAATCATTTTATTTTGTTGTATTTTTCTGCGACACCTTAAAGGCCTGTCCGTGAAAATATTGTCTGACATTAAACCGGGCTGTGGTGCAAAAAAGGTTGGGGACCGCTGATCTAGTTGATGTATTTTGAACCAACACTTTGTATTTCTTCATTTACGATGCAACAAATACAGCACAAGACGAGCAGATTTGCTAAATCCTCAACAGCAAGTCAAATGAAAAATCTGGTTGCATCTCCTCAATTGTGTTCGAGCTATTAGTTGCAGTGATTGCTTTTTTCTTTTTCACAAATTAAATCTGAAATTGTCTGTACTCATTTAGACCTTTTAATTCATATTTTATTTGTTTTTCACAGGGAAATCCTTTGAGATAACCTACATACGACTGAAATTCTACACCAGTCGACCAGAGAGCTTTGCCATCTACAAGCGTACAGAAAACGATGGGCCCTGGTTACCTTACCAGTATTACAGCGCTTCTTGTCGAAAGACCTATGAGAGAGACGCTAAAGGTTACATTCGCCCAGGGGATGATGAAAGGACTGCTTTATGTACAGACGAGTTCAGCGATATCTCACCCCTCACTGGAGGAAACGTGGCTTTCTCCACACTGGAAGGTCGGCCCAGTGCCTACAACTTTGACCAAAGCTTGGTGTTGCAGGTGAGCATGCATTTTGTTGGGTGACATGTATACATGTATTCATGACTGATAGTGTTTCATTGTGTGTTCTCCAGATATGCTGTTATTGCATTGGCAGTGTGTTTCGGATGATTGTTATGCTAAAATGTCACTTTTGCCAATCAGATAGCATTCCATGCTGGATCAATATCTATACTTCTCTGTGTAAATAAGTTAATCAATTTTGACGTGATATCCAACACCAGTTGCTCAACTGTAGACCCAAACCATGACAGAGCCTCAGTGCTTTTAAGGAGGCTGTAGACACTCACTTATGCCTCTCCTCTGTATGTATTTATGGCTATTTGAATCACAATTTAAAAACTGGAATCTATCGCTCCATCAGACCCATTGCCACTGATTTTCAAAGCTGTTTTCTTTACTTAATATAATCATAAACTGTAGAAAAGTGAAAGAAAAAAACTTTTTAAAAAATAAAAATCCAAAATGCATTCAAAAATACATATTTATCATAAATAGCAAATATTCATGTAGATATAACATGAAAAGAAATATTTGATACATTACATTGATGATAATCCACAATGGGTGCTAGCTTCTGCTCATATTAATTTTCTTAGAGGAAATGAATATATCTAAATGTGAGAATAAGCAGTAGCAGCAGGCTTCTCTGGATGTAACAGCTGCTCGCGTGATAACAGTGTTAACAGCACCGCATAACTTGACGTAAAGTTTATAAGTGCATGTAATGTTCTTGCCCCCCCTTCAAGCACTGATTTTATCAAAGCCTCTCGACTGCACACACTTTCACACAAACAAACATCCCGTAGCCATGCATGTATATGCATGCCTTCAAGCATGTTATGTTTAGCTCTGATTAACATTGATGAAGCCTTGAGAGGGTTGTGCTGAATTAATGGAAGTCTCTTGTGGGCGAGTCTGGGAGGGGTGGGCACGGTGAACCGTATCTAAAAATGAGAAAATAAAGTACTTTATGCAGCCACTCCTTTTTCTTTGATGGTGCTATGAGTATGCATTCATACATGCATCTGTTCACAAGTTTCCTATATTGCAACTTAAGTTGGAAAACATTGGGTGAATTCCTTTATTATTAAGTATCGACCACCAGAAAGCCTTGATAATTACTGTATGTTCTAAATAGACAAAAGTAATCATGTCAAAATAAATTAAGCTGTCTAATTAGGACATAGAGATCCTACAAGACTGAAGGAACCATATGCTTCATACATTACTAATACTATTTATGAACATATGAAAGAAACATATGTGTGTGTGTGGTTGAAAATAGTGGAAAGAAAGTATGCAGTGGGCAAGCAGTGGATCCTATAAATTAACCAAAGAAATTTCAAGCAAAACATTTCCGGGGACTCATATGCAGCTGTTTTTTGTTTTTTCTAAAGCCACTGCCAACTTACAAACACACACTGATACACACTGGATTTTGGCACTGGTGACGTGCATGTTACAAATATGAAAGACCCTGTGGCGTCAAATTTAACATACTGGGTTAGTGTCGTTATTTAATTTGCAGGGATAATGTTGTTAAATGGAGCATTTCACCACAAACCACAATCTTGTCCTAATTGTAACCAAGTAGGTCTCTTTTTGTTTTTGTTTTGTGCTTAATAAGACCAGTGAGTGAAAACCAAAGCAAAAAGCAAGTGAAACGGAAAGGGGAAAGCACAATGCTCCCAAACTGGACACAAATCAATGGCTCTTGGCTGACTAACTGGTGACTTATTTCACCAACAGCCCTCCAGCTACCAAATGTGGACCTTGTTCCCTTTTTAGAAGAGGACCGTTACCTCTCCGAGTCTAATATTGCCATTGCCAGTGTTTTCTGACAGGCAGTAATTTACGTCCTGGCATCCTGGGATGACAAAACATTGAATTTGTAAGTTATTTCTGTAATTCTGAGAGAGTTATTATTACTGTTATTATTATTATTATTTTTTATTTTTAGCTGGACCTTAAATACTCAAAGCCATAAAGTCACTTGAAATGACATAAATCAAATATACATGCAAAGTAATGTGAGCTTTGAGCTGTAAGTTATACAACTTTTATATTTCAAATTTAATGCAAAAGCACACGTAAAGACAAATGTATATTTATATTCATAACTTTGTAGACAGAGCTGGGTGCTATACCAGTAAAAATGTCCTGCATATTGATTTATCAACGACCACTGGGAGCAATGATGAGTGCAGGGAGAATGGACCTCTATTAAATGCGATCCCTCTTACTTTCGGCTTTAATCAAAAGTGCAGGTAACATAACAGTTAACAGCTGGGAGATGCTCCATCGCAACATTCAAGAACAGTAAAGAGAAATGGAGGATGAAAAGACAGACCCGAGAATGCACTAAAATAACTACTAACCAAGAGAGGAATCGTGTCTGCTGTGTAGAAAGCTTCAGTTTTATAAGACGGAAGTCATTCTGCTGTAATTTCTTGTTCCACTGCTTCGATGCTCCTGACTTTCACTGTGGGTGGGGCTCGTTCACCTTCCTCCACAAATACACAGCGATGGAGAACGAGAGGCCTCGTGTGCAGATGGATCATGTACACTTGTTGTCGCGCACACACTGGTGTAAAACACAAAAGCAACCTGAGAATATGTGGATTGTCATTTCCAGTTCATAGTTTTTCACAACACTGGCACCTTCTCCGTCCCTTCCTTAACTTGGGTTATTATACACATTAAGAATTTCAGCTTCAAACTAACGCTCTTTACAGACTGGCGACCTGTCCGGCTGTCCCCCACCTCTTAAACTATTGCTTCAGGCCTCTGCAACCTTTAAATCAATTCAGTTGTGAGTTACAGATACTCACATGACACACATAAGGCAAGAACCACATCCTTCTGCCATGGAAACAAACTGTGGTGCCACATGGGCCAATAAATCCACAGTACCCAATACTAGAGTACATTGGCTATTTGGCATTTACAACTGGTTCCAGTGGACAAATTCTACTGAGCAATGCTAAAATTAACCTTTTCCTTTAATTATATCAACTAGGATTTGCAATAGTATAATATGTCAGTCCGTTCGATCATTACGCTACGTCCTACACTCCCCGCTTATGCCACTTATAGTGAATGGTCAATGCAAAAAAAATAATATAATAAATATTAGATTGCATAATATCATTGCATATAGTAGATGAAAATTACATTGCATTTTTTAATCAAGCTTATCAAAATTTTACTTAGCCCCACAATAATTCAGAGGCCATTATTTTCTATTTCTATTGGCCTTACAAGTAAGCAGGAAACATAAATCAGTAGTATTTAGAAGTATTTAGATAGTCTCATACAACCCTTTTAATCAGAAGGAACTGTACTTTCCCTTCTTTACTCAAAGATTCACAACATTAACAGAATAAAAGCAAGTCTTTATTTTACTGACTTAAGAAGGAACAGTTCTAAAAGATAAACAGTCACACTTTTCTTCACAGTAGTCTTAATGAATAGTTCTCCAGGCTTCTTGAAGGATGTTCAAAGTTCTTCTTTGAATGCAAGCATCGTGTTGAAGCACTTTACACCATTACATTAAATAACTGCAAACTGCAATGTGTGTTGGAAGGAAATTCACTACTGTGGCAACACCACCGACTTATATAAAGACATAAAGGACCACTAAAAAGAGAACAAGCACTGAAAGAATTGAAGAGAGGAGGAAGTAAATCCCTCAGACGGACCCAGAGCCTGCTGTCACAGTCTTTCAGAGAGGCAAAGAATAACCAGGTAGCCTATATATTGGTGAAAGTAAAGCTTCAATCATGACTGATGTTGGAGCTTCAGCATTAGTTAATGTTAAAGTGTTATTGGTCGTCATACTTGCTACATTAGCAGACCAATTATCTTTAGACTATATTCAGACATTCAGATAATATATTCTGCCCACTGAAATGTGGTACAATTCATACATTATTTTATTGGAAATTAAACATGAGCTATGAAAAATGTTTGAATATAATAACCTTTTTGTGTTGACTGTCAGGTCTGTTTCATTATTACATACACAGCCCATTTAAACAACTGAAGTTGGTCCAAAGTGCTTTAGCGACAGACACATTTACATTCCACATCTCCAAAAAAAACCCAGTTTCAAATACAGAAAAGGCTGAAAGGCTTGTTTTATGGTGTTAACTGATTCCTATGGAAAGTAAAAATCACAGTGATTCAGTGGTCAATAAACTGTGATTAGAATTCAGAAAATTGATAATGATTCATCTCAGAAATCATGACACTTCCCTCTGCTACATAAATTGACTTTATAAGTTAAAACTATTAGTATTTGTATTGGTAATACTGGCCTTCAATACTTGGTATTCAATCAATACAAAAATTTGCAGTATCGCATATCATTAACAGGTTCATCCTTTGAGTTAGGACCTTTTACTTAATACTTGAATGATTCACTGGTCAGTGTAAAAGGGCTTTAAAAAAGGACACAATATCCGAAGAAAAACTTTGTAAGACCTTGAAAAAGGGGAACGTCTACTCATTTAAAACATTACAACAAAAGTCCGGCTCCTTGAGATCAGTCCGCAGTCAGATTTCCTCCTGTCCTGTGCAACGTCTTCCAGAAAATAATAATAACACATTCTTATATGTGACCTTCCTCCTAAAATTTAGTGTGAAAATACACCTGACAGAGCCAAACTAGCACTTCTGTAAAGTAAGCCATCCTCCTCCGCATCATTAAATAAGAAGAGTTAGTGTGGATATCTGGGGGATATGCAATTTAACCTTGCCTAACCTACCCTAAACATGAGAACGGTGGGGGGAGATTTGTGTTGCTCGTCCTGCCAAAATGTTCTGTTATACAGTATACAACCATTACAAATGACATTTAAGGTGATTTATTCGTAACATGACTAAATCCAGGTCTTTTTTCTTTCTGTTGAAGTTCATGGTTTTCTGCAGGCTTTCATCCCCCCCACGCTTGCTCGTTTCAGGAACATTTGATTTGAATATTTGAATATATACAA